CAATATGAATAAGTGTTCTTATACATTGGCGGAACTTCTTAAGGAACTCCAGGCAGCTGAGGGTCTACTTTAGAAGCAAGATTGTGTTTATGTGATTGAGAAAGATTCTAATTCTAAGCCGAAAGGCAAGAAAAAAAAAAGAAGAAAAAGGTTCAAAAGAGGTTAAGGTGCCTCAAACTACAATAAAAAGGTTAAAGGCAAGTGTTTTCATTGCAAGCAGTAAAGGCACTAGAAGAAACAATGTTCGGATCTATCTCTCTAAGATGAACAATCCAGGGTTCCAGGAAACCAGACGACTTAGTGATGGTGAGATTTATCTTCACATGGGCAATGCTACGAGAGTGGCAGCAGTTGGAGTAGGAGATTTTCATTTATATTTTGGTAGAGATAGGATTTTAATTCTAAGAGATTGTCTTTATGCACCAAATATTAGAAGGAACTTAGTCTCGATTTCTAAATTAATTCGATATGGATATAATGTTTATTTTAATGACTTTGTGGTTATTAAGCATAATAAGTATTTTATCTGTTCTGGTTCATTGGTGGATGATCTTTATATTGTTAATCATATCTCACCTACACTGCAATTAACTGAATTGAATAATACTTTTTTTTTAATTGAATAATACTAGTACCTCGCCATGTAAGAGAAAACCTTCTAAAATGAACCAAACGTATCTTTGGCACTTATGCCTAGGTCATATTAACTTACAAAGGATTTAAAGACTAGTTGCAAATGGACCATTGAGTTCATTGGAAGTGGAAGCACTTCCAGTCTGTGAATCTTGCTTGGAAGGTAAAATGAACAAGAGGCCCTTTACGGCCAAGGGGCTATAGAGCAAAGGATTCATTGGAATTGGTTCATTCTGATTTGTGTGGACCCATGATTGTCCAAGCAAGTTGTGGGTTTGAAAATTTTATTACTTTTATTGATGATTATTCAAGCTATGGGTACATTTATTTGATGCGTCGTAGGTCTAAATGCTTTGAGAAATTCAAAGTGTTTAAGGTTGAAATGGAGAAGCGTTCAGGGAAGTCTATCAAGACATTACGATTTGATCATGGTGGCGAGCACCTCTTAGGAGAGTTTAGGGATTACTTATCAGAGTTAGGGATAACATCCTAGTTGTCTACACCTCACACACTACAACAAAATAGTGTGGCAGAAATAAGGATATGACTCTTATGGATATGTTTAGATCTATGATGAGTTATTCAATTTTACCCAATTCCTTTTGGGGATATGCCTTGGAAACTACAACATACATTCTGAACTTGGTATCATCTAAGTCAGTACCTACCACTCCCATAGAATTGTGGACTGGGTGTAAGCCAAGTTTGTGGCACATTCAGATTTGGTAGAGTCCAGAACACGTGCTAAAAGGGAACACGGATAAGTTGGAGTCAATAACAAAAGTTTGCTTGTTTATAAGGTATCCAAGAGGAACAAAATGTGGTCTTTTATATAGTCCTAAGGATCAAAAGGTCATTATTAGCACCAATGCCAGATTCTTAGAGGAAGACTATATGATGGATCATAAGCCTAAGAGTAGAATTGTTCTCGAAGAGTTAAGAGGAGATAGATCAGATAATACTTCTTCAACATTAACTGCACAAGGGGAGGCATCACAAGAAATAGTAGACAATATCCCATTGCCTAGTCGTAGTGGGAGGAATATCAATACTCGTGCAGAACCTGCACAAGATGTTACCGATAATACATAGATACAGGTAAAGCTTTATAGTAGTGAGAAGGTTGTTCGTCAACCCGAACGATATATATTCTTGGAAAAGTCTTTTGACATGATTCCTAAGAAACAAAATGCTGATCCCTGGACCTACAATGAACCACTCTAAGATAAAGATGCAGAACTTTGGAAAAAGGCTATGATATCTGAGATGGAGTCCATGTACTCCAATTAGGTCTGGGAACTTGTAGAACCACCCAATGGCATAAAATCCATTGGATGCAATTGGGTCTATAAGAAAAAGAGAGGATGAGACAATAAGGTGAAAAAATATAAAGCAAGGCTTGTTGCAAAGGGTTTACTCAAAAAGAGAGAATCGATTATGAGAAGACTTTTTCGCCCGTAGCGATGCTGAACTCGATCCGGATTCTCTTATCCATTGCAACTTATCTCGATTACGAGATTTGGCAAATGGACGTCAAGATAACGTTCCTTAACAGGAATCTTGACAAGTGTATCTATATGGTACAACTAGATGGGTTTGTAGCAAAGGGCCAAGAGCATCTAGTATGCAAGTTTAAGAGATCCATTTATGGACTTAAGCAAGCATCTAGATCTTGGAACATTCGTTTTGATTACACTATTAAATCTTATGTTTTTAATCAATGTCTTGATGAGTCCTATGTGTATAAAAGACATGATGGAAATCTGGTGGTGCTCCTAGTACTTTACGTGGATGATATCTTGCTCATTGGAAATGATGTGAGGGTGTTATCTTCTATTAGGGTATGGTTATCCAATCAGTTCGATATGAAGGATCTGGGAGATGCTGGTCACATCCTTGGGATCAAGCTTATGCAAAATCGCAAAGATAGGATGATAAGATTATCTCAAACTAATAGAAAGTCAACTTCAGGATATGTGTTTATTCTAAGAGGTGGAGCCATAAGTTGGAGGAGTATCAAGCAATCTTGCATTACTAATTCCACCATGGAGGCCGAGTACATGGCGGTTTCTAAAGTAGCCAAAGAGGTAGTATGGCTTAGAAACTTCCTAATGGATTTAGAAGTGATACCCTCAATAAAATTGGCTATTACATTTTATTGTAACAATAGCGAAGCGGTTGCTAACTCGAAGGAACCACGAACCCATAAGAAAGGGAAGCAAATTGAGCGCGAATATCACATTATAGGAGATATCGTGGGAAGAGGTGATGTAGTGGTGACCAAGATTGCATCAGTAAACAACTTGGCAGATCCATTTACAAAGAGCTTACCAACAAAGACTTTTGATAGTCATGTGGAGGAAATGGGAGTTTGATGTATGACAACATGGTTATAAGTATAAGTGCGAGAATTGATAGAATAATATACTAAAAGTTTGTTTTGTGTAGTAAAATTTGTTTAATTAATTAATAAAAGTTTGTTCTTTTCATTTTATTGAGAATCTATATGGACAAAATGTTTGTATTGTATTTTATATATGATAAGCATCTGCGGCTTATATTTTATATTGTAAATAATCTGGTGTATAGAGTTCAGATTATGCACAAAAAATCAAATTATCGGATCCTTCTATAATATGAGTATATATTCACAATCGTAAATGGAATTAGACATGCATCGGTATGATTGTAGTGTAATATTTTGACATAATCTGTCTTAACTATAGGAGATCGTTTGATGTCTCAGATTATTGCACTAGTACACTATGTATTGAACAGACTCATATTTAGGTTATTATCTTTTACTAATTTAATAAGATAATAAAATACCTCATGATTATTATGATTGGTTATAATTTTAATCCCTAAATATTTAATTGTCACGTGCATATAATGTTTGTCACTTTAATTCATCAAAGAGTGAGATTCATATTAGGTCAATAAGCTCGATGAATTAGGAGACGATGTTATTTGTATGATGAAAATAAAATATTAAAGAAAATCACATCCTATTATTTAAATGGATTGATGATGTCCTCTTGAGAAAGCTAATAAGTGTCATTCATGTCAAACCCTAAAGGTGGATTGAATTATCTGACATGACAAATAAGTTGAGTGATAAGATCTCAAAGAATAAAAGAAGTCAATTAAATATAATTGTCAATGATTTATTTAATTGATGGATATCTGTAATTTTAAATATAGGGAGATTATTAAGCATATAATAATAAGGAACTCAAATATAATTTTAAAATAAGACCTAGAAGATCAATAATAAGTCTTTAGTGGACTGACTTATTATTAATAGGTTATAAGATGTTTGTTCCGGATTGAACAAAAGAATCATAAATCCATTGGGAGTCCAATCCTTATTTCCCCTTAGGGTCTCTGTCATATCCTATATATAGACGTTTAAGTTCTCTATTTCAACATCTTATCTTTACTCACGTTTATTAGGGAGGCTGAAGGAGAGAGCAAGGATTCAGAGGTCTTGGCAACCCACATTACATCCAAATTCTGACATTGGGGATATACAATAGAAGGCCGCGAAGTTAGTCGAGTTGTACTCGTTTTATTCTGTGTTTGAGCTGAGACGAGATCAATCCCGAGAAATCTCGAAGGTAAACCCTAATTCCGCTTTTTAGGGTTTGAGGAAAATTTTTAATATTCAATACATATGCGCTATCAACGACTCTTGGAATTTCCATTCCAACAGATCCCACATGCATTACTAGTAGACTGAACCTCCCAAGATGGTGAGCCTGACCTTTGTTGGCCTCCATCTGTGATATGGGCCTAGTTTGGGTTGGACCCATTATCTGTGATCTAGACCTGATCTCTGTGTGGTCACAAGCCCTAAAATCGCCATCTATCTTCTCACCTTGATTCTTATTCATTTTTGGGTCTTTCTGTGTTTTTATTATCAATTGCTATCCGTTGTTGTTTGTTTCTGGTTTTGTGCTGCGATATTAAAGTCTTTGTTGCACCAATCATGCATTATACAACATAATGCAAATGGAAAACGAGACTCAAGGAAAAAGAAGGGAAAAAGTATGGAAGAAAACGAGAAAGAAAAGAAATGTAAGAAGAATCACTGGTATGAGTTCATTAGTCTATGTTTCTCCAAACAACCATTTGGCAGAAAATTTCCCTTTAAAACTTGTAACAATACTGCGAGCTCCAATTTACACAACATAGTTAGAGTAGTAACAATAATGCGAGCTCAATTTCCACAACGTAGTCACAAAGCAAGTTTGTTCTCAAGAATATTTTACATAATCACAACTAATACTAAAAGACTCGAGCTCAATGTTCTGCAAAACTCTCTGTATCATCTGAAGCTTATTAGAAATACACTGAACACATCATCACAGTTTTCTTGCTTTATAATTTATACCACCCTTTAAAGAAGAGGAGGACGATGACGAAGACAAGGCAGACCTCTGATGTTCAGCCTTGTCCTTGCTAAATGCCCTTTGGACATCCTTCTTAAGCTCAATGAAGCGCGTCCTCTTGATTCTCTGCTCATCCAGAGTGCCCTTCTCAAGGTAGAACAAATCAGGCAGGTCATCTTCCATAAACTTATCCAGCACTTCTGAGCAGTGAGGGAAATAGCGCCGACCCATCTCAACTGCCACCATGAAAACCACAAATCTTAGGAAGAGCAACTGAAAGTGAGCTGTAAATGACTGCTTCATAGTTTCACATCAATCACATAACAGTTTCAAAACTATAAGTTGAATTTTCACCTTGCAAGCTCCAGCCTTTTCACACTTTTTTCTAAAATAACTTGGCCTAAGTTTGTCATAACAACAGATCAGCCAGATTTCAAATTATTTATCGCATATTATGTTATTCTGGTATTGCAGGCTTCCAACTCTCTGAAATTTTTGAAGCATCAAGTCTAGGATATTAGGTTAACAATTTCATGACTTGTAATCTAACTTGGATATACAGTTCATCTGAAAATATTATTTTGGAGAGCCATTAGAAGCCTCAAGAGGGTTGATAACTTTACAGTGGCAATCAAACACAGAAAACCGAGCCAAGGGAAAATGGAACAAAGAATAGTACATAGTCTAATTTCAGTTATGCACATGCCCCTTTTATTGGCTGGCCAAGTTTCAGAAGTGGTCACGGTCGGGTGAATATGGGTGAACATCGAATTCTTGTCAGTCAAAGGTAGGAGGCAAGTTGACTTAGTGGATAGGCCTCAAAGATACTTGACTAGGGTCTAGTTGACTAGATAGGAAGGCCAATCGAATGCAAATGTCAGAAAGTCAAAAAACAAGGTGTTTATGACTGTTACTAGTTGTATTAACGTGACTGAGCTTGTCAACCTTAAGAATGCTTAAACTCATGAGCTCGAGCCAAGCTTTCATTGTCAAGCCTATATCATTGCATTCGAGCCAAACTTGATCCAAAATCAAGCTCAACTTCTCAGCAAACTTCACAAAATTTAACACAAAATCTTAATAATCAACCGTAAAATAATTGATGTCTCAACAAAAAGTATGTCAAAATATTTATAATCAACCATAAAATCAAATTATAGAAGTTTAATTTTAAACATAACCTATTAGAGAATAAAGTGAAGAGAATTGCACATGACCTGGAGTAATTAAGGATAAATATGGTGTTGTTCATCTTTTTGCATAGTATTTGATTGTAAAATTAGAATTTATTTATTAAAAAGTGCTTATTCCAGCCGAGCTTAGCCACATGTTGCTCAAATTTGGATCGATTAAAAAACGAGCTTAAAAAATAAACTAAATTCGGTTCATTTCGTAATTTGAACTAGCCCAAGCCGAGCTTAAGCTACTTGGATCATTCAACAGCCCCGACTTTTACACCTTTTCACTAAATGTGTATTTTACCTATATCAGATCAAAGATGAAAAGAAAGTTCTAAAAATACCTACACAAACAAGTTAACATCTCTAGGGTGGATTTAAAGAGCTCAAGTGAATTGTACCCTACATTCGCCATCACAGTTACTAAAGCATATTTGCACTTGAGAAAAAAATTATTTTATTTGGGTATTGCTAGGTACATATCTCTTAATACACAAATGACCTCAAAAAACCTAGAAAGACTTGGCTCAAAGATGAGTCTGTAAGTCACTACTGAATCAATTTAAGAGTGTTGAGGACTTAATGCAATTTTATTGTGGAGTATTTGTTGTAGATTTGCCATAAAAGTGCACCAAGTCCTCATGAAGGCCTTGTGAATGGTCCACTAGGTTCTGGTAGTAGTTTTCCCATTTTGTAAAACGCAATGTTCTTATAATGAATTGAGGCCCAACCTGATGATTAGAAACGTGGATACAGGTTTAGAGGCTAACTGAACCCATATAGAATTTTTGTTCGTTTGCGTTGTTGAATTTCTATTTGATATGTGAAGGATATGTGTAATGTTTCACCTCTCAAGAATGTGTCGATCTTATGACTACTTGCATTTTATGAATCGTAATTATCAAGTGCATGTTAATACTTTAAATTGTTAATCAAACTTGAGAATCATGCATAACAACTTCTGCACACAATAGGTGTAGATTTTAATGGTGAAGTTGATAAAACAGTGTTGGGAGGAATCTGCAGAAGGAGCCAATCTATTGGCCTTGAATCAAGTTGATCAGCAACTAGTCAAGTAGAATGTCCCGAATCGATTAAGTCACAACAGATTTGCTATTTGGCTTCTAGCTATAACAAAGGAATATTGAGCATTAAATCGAGGTTACTCGCACATTTAAGATGTATCCCACCACTCAAAAGCTAGAGCATTAAGTGACACGATCAAATTATTTTTAGAATAAGTTTAAAAGTTACAAAAGGCCTGAAATTAGAGCTAAAACGAAAAATTGTATAAGAGTCATATTCACCTCATCTAGGACTCCTTTGCTAACAAGTAAATGCAGTATTTATTCAAATACTTCAACATAAGCAATGACCACCTTGGCTGGCTTTGCACTTGATTAATGTGCATGTCGTCAATCACTTGATCATAGTTGATGGGCCAGACCCAAATGGCCCAATCCATGTGGAAAGCCCAACTTAATTAAGAGCCCAAGCTTGTAGAAGACGCAGCAGGTCCAAGTCAATCAAGCCCATCAGGAAGCTACGCCACTAAGGGAGCATCCTCGTTGCTCGGAGAGAGTCAACCTTCCCTTATCCTTTAACCAAGTCCTTTGGAGAGCACTATAACTTCTTTACCCGTTGAGGAGAGGAAAGGTCGTCAAACTATTTTAATACTATTAAGTTGCCCCGTTATGACCGTCAGTCTAGCTATTCAATCACTGCGCAGACGTCTATAAATTGTAAGCTCTCCCAACACTTGGAGGCATCTCACAAAAATCAAGCTCGTCTCTTTTCTCTTGTAATTCTCTCCTTCCCCAACACACCGGAATTAATAAAATTCCCGATGAACTTTGCCATTGAAAGTGGACGTAGATCTTGTTGACCGAACCACTATAAACCTTGTTTCTTCTCTCTCCCTCTATTTACTGCATTTTATATTGCTTAGTTGACAGGTGGTGTGCAAACCGATTTTATGCATCATCAGTTTAGTGTCATTTGTGGAAAACTACAAAATTCTCACCTAACCATTTTCTTTGCTCAATCAAAGTCAATCACCACAAAAACCATGAGTCAGCATGAAGACAACCTACGAAAGGAGGAGGTTGCTCCTCCACCCGTCAATCCTGTCTCAAATGCACAGCAGATGCTGGTCACAATGCAACAACTCATAGCCCAAAACTAGCAGATTCTACAATTGATGCTCGAACAACAAGGAGGAGCGCAACTGGACCTCAAGCCAAGGGAGCTCCACTCCCTGGTCATCAAGGAGCTCCTCACCTTGGCGCTCCCCATCCAGGTGCCCCCTCTTTGGGAGTGGGAGTTCCCTTAGGCGCCCCACATAGGGGGCCTACCATGAGGGACCTCCTCCTCCAGCCCCTGCTCCGACTCTTCATAGTGGAGACCCTCCTCTCAAAGAGGAGGAGGGTGAAAACCAAAGCATGGAGCACAAGAGCCCTTTCCGTGATAATTCCAAAAGCCCTCCTCCCAATCAATGGGACGAAAAAATTAAGGAAGTGCAAAATCAGCTGGGTGACGTCTTCAACGCCATGAAGGCGCAGGGCCCTGAGACAGTAGACTATCTCGTAAGTCGAACCGACACACCTTTCAAACCTGACGTGGCAAACTATCCACTCCCCCAAAAATTCAAGATGTCGTCCGTTGAGACCTCTGACGGTACAAAGGATCCGCTAGACCACCATTAAACTTTTAAAACCTTAATGCGACTGCACAACGTCCCCAACGAAATCATGTGCAAAGCGTTTCCAACCACCTTGAAGGGATTCGCTCGACAATGGTTCACCAAACTTTCCTCAGCCTCCATTGGCACATCCGCTGAGCTAAGCAGGTCTTTCGTGTCACACTTCATTAGACGACGCCACCACCAGAAGCCTACCACCCACCTGCTCAGCATAAAGCAGGACCAAGATGAGAGCCTGAGGAAGTCCTTCAGGTCGAGGAGCACGATGATAAGGTGAGCATAACCGCCTTCCTAGGGGGCCCTTCGGTCGTCAAACTTTCTTTTCTCTGTAATGAAGCGCCCACCGAAAAGCATGCCAGAGTTGCTGGCGAAGGTCCAAAAATACATGAATGCTGAGGACATTACAAGGGCCAAACGAGGGGAGTCCTCTAAAGCTGGAGAGAAAAGAAAAGAAAAAGCTAGAGACGATAAGGAGAATAATAACAAGCGTAGCAGGACGGAGAGAGTACCTCCCAAAGACCGGCTCGGTCCTGCTCCCCAGAGGGATCGACAAGCCTTCGCTCCCCTCAATGCCGCCGTCGGGCATATCCTATTATAGATCTAGGATGACCCCGCAATAAAGTGGCCAGGAAGAATGAAGTCTCCCCCAAACCAAAGGAGCCCAAACAAGTATTGTCGCTTTTATCACGACCATGGCCATGACACCAATTATTGTTATGACCTCAAAAGGCAAATTGAGAAGCTCATCCAACGGGATCACCTACGCTAGTTGGTTGTCGGTAGGGGACAGGCGCCAGCACCACCCCGTAATCCCTATCGGAGAAATTCACACCATCTCCGGAGGGCTTGCAGGGGGAGGAGAACCCCTCTCCTCTATGAAGGCTTATGCCAAAAAAGCTAAGCACCCCGAGGAATTTCACCCATTCAAGGCGCCCAAATATGGCAATAGTGAGGTCATATCCTTCTCAGACAAAGATTTGGAAGGAATCCAGCACCCCCATGACAACCCTCTGGTGCTCATCATGACCATCGCCAACTTCCAAGTGCAAAGGATTCTCCTGGACAGCGGAAGCTCTGCAGATATCTTATTCGCAGAGGTTTATGACAAGTTTAACTTTGGCAGAGAAAGATTGCAACCCATCAGGTCGCCCCTCACTGGGTTCTCAGGGGAGAAAGTGTATCCCCTAAGGTCCATTACCCTACCTGTCACTGCCGGAACGGCACCTCAAAGCTCCACGATCATGGTCAACTTCCTGGTGATAGATTGTCCTTTAGCTTACAACATCACTCTAAGGTGACCAACTCTCAATACCCTAAGGATTGTGCCATCCACCTACCACTTCATCCTCCATTTTTCAACTTCGAATAGAGTCAAAGAGGTGCGAGGAGACCAAGTAATCGCAAGGGAGTGCTATGTCTCCTTT